CCCCACACCCACATCCCCACAAAAGACCCCATTCCTTACCCACAACGAGCACATTACAGACAACGATGACTACGAGGTTTGAGATGTTGATGACTCCCATAGTCGTCGTGAAAAACCGGTGCCTCAGAGGGGTCGTCGGGCACAGGTGAAGGTTGGGGAAACACCAGGTGCCAGGGTATTGCAAGAACAGCTGCCCGATGTTGAACAGTGGCAGGAGGGAGAACATGATGCAGAACACGAAGATGGACAGGAGGAGAACTCTGTGGGAGGAGAAAGGGGAGGGGGGGAGGAAGGAAGGTTAGTTTAGGTGATGTTGATTTTCCTTTTTTTTTATTTGCTTATTTATTTATTTATTTTATCTATTTTTGTTTTTAATTTCTCACTGTCAGTTCCCTCTATTAATTATCTCTGCTTGGTATTCTTAGGATATGGTAATATTTAACTGTGTACATGTGTGTGTGTGTGAGTGAGTGAGTGAGTGAGTGAGTGAGTGAGTTGAGTGAGTGAATGAATGAGTGAGTGAGTGAGTGAATGAGTGAGTGAGTTTGTATACATGACCTCTTGCTTATATGCTTGCGTGCGTGTGCGTGGAGAGCACGAATCCATCACCCTTCCCCTTCCACCACGAGGCAACGACCAAGAGCCTCATCTCCACCCAGCGTTTAATTTCTCTCCGCAAAGTCATGTCTCCAAACAGCTCGACTCTGAGAAGCGGGATAAAATTGACTCGCCGAAGCCAGCGCCACCTCCGAACCATTACGTGTGAAAGGCGAAACTCTACGTAAATCTTTTCCCTTTTTCCTCCCTATTCGATTTGTTTTGTTTGCCTCCTGTTGTTTAGAACAAAAGGGAACTGTGTGCGGAGTTTCTCAGATTTCTCTCCTTTTTCTTTTTTTCATTTTCTTAAGGCTGTGCGGTTTATATACGGGAAAATATCAGGATAAAGTGAGGCACGAAAATAGACGTTCCTTTTTTCAATAATGCGGCCGTAACGAGGTCAGAGGGAGACAGTTCGGACACTCTGACCAGCCACCATCCAACAATGTCGCCGAGTTCGTTAGCGTAATGTAAACCCTGTATCCGAAACCCTTCACAGCGACTTAATGAAGACGAAAAACGGAAAAATTGGCAATTTCATACACTGCTAATGTGACTAGGGAAATATTTATCTATTTATCATTATCTATTTATCGATCGAACTATCCACATATACATATATACATACATAAACACACGCACACACACACACACACACACACACACACACACACACACACACACACACACACACACACACACACACACACACACACACACACACACACACACACACACACACACGCACACACACATATGTATATATATATATATATATATATATATATATATATATATATATATATATATACATACACACACACACACACACATACACACACACACACACACACACACACACACACACACACACACACACACACTATATATATATATATATATATATATATATATATATATATATATATATATATATATATATATATGCATATATATATATATATATATATATATATATATATATATATATATATATATATATATATATATATAAAATTCTAGCGCTGTTTCTTATGACAGGTCCTTTTGGCATCCATTTTCTCCGTAACCCTCTTATTCTCTTTTAATTCATTTAACATTCTCAGTCTTTTCCATGGGACTGAGGACCATATCCCGAGATGTCTACCATAAATACGAGGGAATGACCAGCCAGGGTGCCTTCCCGCCGCCTTCCCGCTGCCTTCCCCGACAGTGTTTTTATTGAGACACTGTATGTAAAAGGGATGCCAGTCAAGGCTAGAGTCCTCTCTATCCTTATTTATATCTATCCCATAGATATAGATAAGGACCAGAACCCCACAGTGTGTGTGTGTGTGTGTGTGTGTGTGTGTGTGTGTGTGTGTGTGTGTGTGTGTGTGTGTGTGTGTGTGTGTGTGTGTGTGTGTGTGTACATACATACAGATATGTATATTGTTATCATTATTCAGCCATTCATTCCAGTGTAAGATTTAGTCCTCTCCCAATTCATTATTGAGAGGTTATTTGGCAGTACCAGCCTTGCCTGATTGGCTGTCCTTCCTAATCAATCGCGGTCCAGCCCCACCAACTGACCGAGGCGGCGACTGCCCTTCGACGCCTGCGACTGACCTCTCAAGGGGATCTCGCCGTGCGATCGGCCTCGTGCCAGCAGTCGGAGCGCAGGAATTTTGCAATTAACCGCTTCGAAAATTACAAAATACACACACATACATACAAACATACATATGTGTGTGTTTGTACACACACACACACACACACACATACACACACACACACACACACACACACATACACACACACACACACATATACATATATATGTATATATGTATATATATACACACATACATACAGATGTGTGCCAAGAATGCGCTTGTAAGGATCCGTTCGTGCCTGTGTTGATATGCGTGCATAAGTGCTTAATTTGCATATCAACCCATCTGTACATGCAATTAAAGCCATGTGCAAACATACCAAAATTCATCTTCATGAGAACACACCATGACTTCAACAAAACAACAACAAGCACATCGTACGCAACCAAACAACCAAATTTTCACCAACGACCATTCCGCTCCGTCATATTACGTAACCCCGTTTTTGTTTGCGAGAAGCGAAGGGCGGCCGATGTAGCCTCCCGCCCAACTGGTTCTTGGAATGAGGAAGCCTTGAGGAAAGAGAAGGAAGTCTGTGTGAAGAATGGAGGAAGATGAGAAGAAAAATAGAGGGTAGGTGGGGGATGGTAAGGAATCTGGTAAAGAAGGAAGAAGGAAGGGAGGAAGGTGAAGAGGCAGGGGGGGGGAGGAAAAAGGAAGGGAGGAAGGTGAAGAGGCAGGGGGGGGGGGAGGAAAAAGGAAGGGAGGAAGGGAAAGAGGCAGGGAGAGAAGGAAGAAGGAAGAGCAAGAGTCAGGGAGGGAATATGGGAGGAAGGGAGGAAAAGACAGAGAGAGAAGAAAGGGAGGGAAAGGGAAAGAGACGGAGAAGAAGAGAAAGCAAGAACAAGCGAGACAGAGAGAAACAAAAAGAAAAATTCAAACAACATCAACATCCCAGCACAAACACAAACAAACAAGAAAAAAAAAAGAAATCAATGAACAAAAATAAAAAGCTAACACAGAATACACACACGCACACTTACACACAGGATTAGTTTGCGTCAAATACTCGAGACAAGCAACGAGGAAGAGTAAATACACACGAACTTTTAAAGGCTTAGGAAACTTCGAGAGAACCAGTAGCGGATTAGAGGCTGTCGTGGGGGGAGGGGGTGGGGGGTTAGGGTAAACTCGCTGCACATTATTCCGAGGTCACATCACGAACGAGGTCACGTGAGCTCGCTGAAGGTCAAACGGCATCAGTGGGATGTAGTTTCCTTATAGTGAGGCGTTTTTCGTTCTTTGTATTTTGTTTTCGTTTTATTTTCTTATACTTCGTTATTGATACTGTGACTATTATTATCTTTGACATTATTCTTATGATTATCATTATCCACGGTTATTTATGTATTTATCTATCTATTTATTTATCTAATCTATCTATTTACCTATATATATATTCATTTACTTAATTTTCATTTATCAATCATTATCATTTTATTGTTAGAGAGGTGTGTATGTGTTTGACTACTTGTTAATTCATTTGTGTATTTGTATGTGTGTGTGTTCGTGTGTCACTTATTAATGTTCCTTATCAATGTTCCTTATTAATCCGTGTGGCATACGATTATTTAATTAGGAAAATAGAATATCGAGAATATGTTTTACCCCTGTCTAGCAGCACAGGATATCTTATCCATATATATACATATATATGGATAAGATATACGTATATTTGCATATAGGTCTCTCTCTCTCTCTCTCTGTCTATCTATCTATCTATCTATCTATCTATCTATCTATCTATCTATCTATCTATCTATCAATCTCTCTCTCTCTCTCTATCTATCTCTATCTATCTCTCCCTCTCTCTCTATCTATCTATCTATTTATCTCTCTCTCTCTCTCTCTATCTCTCTCTCTCTCTCTCTCTCTCTCTCTCTCTCTCTCTCTCTCTCTCTCTCTATCTATCTATCTATCTATCTATCTACCTATCTCTATCTCTATCTCTATCTCTCTCTATCTCTCTCTCTCTCTCTCTCTGTCTCTCTATCTCTCTCTCTATATCTCTCTTTCTCTATCTCTATCTCTCTCTCTCTAGCTCTCTCTCTCTCTAGCTCTCTCTCTCTAGCTCTCTCTCTTGCTCTCGCTCTCACTTCCTTACTCCATCTCACCACTCCCCTGTTTCTTCCTTTATTTCCCTCTTCCCCCCCCCCCCCCCTCCCACGCTCCTTCTGCTGCTACAATATTGAGCTACAAGTATAACAGAAAACAGGAGATATTGTTTTTGTAACGGTACCGAGTTGTTGTCTTGAGTGATTTCTTGTTATAAAGTAATAGCCGCCCTCCGCTCGCTCACGAGAGAAAAGAAAGGGCAATACTGAGAAAATGAAATAATATTATGTTGATATCTATCGCTGCGTAATAAAAGTATCAGTACGAAATGTTATATATCCTACGCACTCCCACACATAGATAGATAAATAGATATATGTTTTGAAGAACGTTATAGTAGATGGAGTTTTGGAGAAAAGTTATATAAGCAATAAATCTTGAAAAAAGTGTTTCTGGGTTCTTCAAAAAGGCTATATACCCAGCCAATGATTCCCTTCTCTGCGAGTTAAAGGCAACGGTGTGTTTAGATTCACATATCAGACCCACTGAAGGCAGATGCTGATAATAGATACTTTATACATCTATTGCCTCCTTGCTCTTTGATTCTATGTGTTTTATAATTGGAAATACTGACATGAAATTTCTAGTCTCTGCATAACACGATGGTTAGTGTTAGCGTCCTTAAGTGAAAGGTGGAGTTGAGTATCCGCAGAATTATATAGCTTGGCCCTCACTTGTCTCCCTTTTATCATATGCGCTTCACTTGCTTTTGTTGCATCGAAATCCGAATGCTTACATAATATAGACACGTACACAAAGATATGTACATATACAAACATACATACATACATGCATGCATATAGACATACATACATTATATAAATATATTTATATATATATCATAAATACAGAGAGAGGGAAATAGATATGTATATATATGTATGTGTGTGTGT